CCGTTGGGTGCTTGTGCGCATCCCATGGAGACTTGGGGGAAAAAAACCTTTTAGCGACGGGACATAGGCGGGCGCCGGATGCCACGACCTACCACCGGAAACGCGATCAGGCGCCCGCCCTTGCCCCGTGATTTCCAGAAACTAGTACCTCGGAGGTACTAGTTTTTTACCCCGCATCTTCGGCGGGAAGCCTCAGGTTTGCCACAGGAGCTCTACGCTTCCCAGATGTGGCGCTGTGATCGCGCCTGGAAAATCCGCCTATCTTCCGTCTCTGTAGCGTGGCTAATGCTCTGTGTGACCGCAGCCCTGGTTGTTGTTGGCTTGGAATGAATTTTGCAATTGTAACTTTACAAAGTTTTAAGAGTAAGAGACTGCCCGGGCGCAAGTCAACACGATCCCATTGCCGGCGCTTCAGCGGCTTTTGATTGGGTGGCGCATCTCACGAAAACAAACAGACCGCCAAACTGCTCATCATCCCCGATCTCTGGGAAATGCATAAAAATGAGTGAAAGGCCAAATAGGTGTAGGTAGAACTCGATCCATCTGGAAGGCCTTCCTACTGGGAAAGGCGGCCGCCGTTCTGCGGGGAGACGTGTTTAGATTGAAGGCCAGAGGGCTTTTAATAAGCTATTATGTGTCATCGCTCATCGATTTAAGCCTCGCATGAAATGAATTCTGAGCGCTGCTTTATGCTTCCTCGTTTGTGAGAGAGGCGGGCTCCTTGTGTTACATAGGATGGTTTTGCGAAACCCCAAGCGCCCGGGATGGTATGCGGTAACCCGATCCTCCCTTCGGCGTTTCACGCCTTTTTGTCTTTTAAGCCCAACCGCTTAACAATAGGAGCTGATTATTGTGCCGTGCCTGGAAGAATCTGGGTTACGCAGACGAGACCAGACGCTGAAGGCCTGAATGGGCGGAGAAGATTTCCTGACAAAGCCAGGAGTCATAATCAGGACAAAAAGACGACAATGAATATTCTGAGAATCAATGGCGCCTGATAGCATCATTAGAAGAATGCGCAGAAGAATGTCCTTTAGGCTCACCCAGAAATGACGCCTTTCACCGAAAGATCCGTCTTAGAAAATGTGTCAGAGTTTCTGGTGACCCAAAAGAGCAAGCGTCCAGACTAACAAAATTTGTGGCAGTGTGGGAGCTGTCAAGAGTCACTGCTCACTTCTTCAGAAACTAAGTTCTGGTGACCTAAATTCAGGTAAAGGTAAAGGTTCCCTTGCTCGAAAGCCAGTCGAATCCGACTCTAGGGTTGCCGTGCTCATCTCCGTTTCAAAGCCGAAGAGCCAGTGCTGTCCGAAGATGTTTCCGTGGTCATGTGGCTGGCATGACTAAACACCAAGGCGCATGGAACGCTGTTACCTTCCCACCGAAGTGGTCCCTATTTATCTACTTGCAATGTCTTGCTTTCAAACTGCTAGGTTGGCAGGAGCTGGAACCAGAGACGGGAGCTCACTCCGTCATGCGGCACACTCGGGTCTCGAACTGCTGAACTACCGACCTTCCACAGCCTGCAGTTCAGCGTCTTAACCACTTGAGCCACCGCAGCTCCTAAATTAGGGTGTACTTAATTGATGTCAGCTCAAAAGGCTGGGGTATGGGGAGTGTCCTTATGTACATCCTTCTCTCATGGTTAAGTGCGCGGACTCTAATCTGGGAGAACCAGGTTTGATTCCCCCATTCCTCCACATGCAGCCGCTGGTGTGACCTTGGGTCAGACACAAGTTCTCTCAGAGCTGTTGTCTCACGAGCAGTTCTCGAGTGAGCTCTCTCAGCCCCACCTACCTCACAGGGTGTCTGTTGTGGGGAGGGGAAAGGCGATTGTAAACTGCTCTGAGACTCAGGTAGTGAAGGGTGGGTATAAATCCAATCTCCTCCTCCTCCTCCTCTTCTTCTTCATCTGGAGATAAATTGTAATAGCCACAGGTCTCCAGGTGCCACCTGGAGGTTGGTAACCGTACCAACCCCTCATTTTCAGTCTGCAGCCAACCAGGCCCCATTGGACGGGAATTCGGATACGACAGCACTGAATTGCAGTTTAGAGTGTCTCATCCCAGATAGAGGCCTTCGCTTCATCTTCATCGAGAGTCAGTTTGGTGTAGAGTGGTTAAGTGCGCCAGTTATCACCTGTAACAAACAAAAAAAAATTATTATTGTACTTTGTATTTTTTATACTTATAAGGTTTTGAATATATTTTTGCACAGTTTGCAGTACTGTTGGTTTACTTTTGGTCTTTTGTACTGCAACCCCTTAACTGCTATACGTGGATCCATGGCCAGGCAGGAGCTGTGCTGAGCAAGAACCCTACCTGGCCCCCACCCTCCTCCTGAAAACACTTGCTTGGCACCACAGTGCTCGTGGGCACCACGTTGGGGACCCCCGATGTAGACCAACTGCTGCATTATAAATAAATCGAGAAGATGAGTTGCAAATAGAATAAACTCAGTACTAGACTCCTCTGTCTTGTTTTAAATGATCATGTAGCCCTGAATGTTACGGGAATGGTATACAGCTTTTGTCGAATGAGGATAAAGTATAATAAATAAATGAATGAATAATTTACAGAGATTCCTTAGTTGCTCTTGCAGCCCCCTCCCCCCATTGATCAATCTTTATTCAGAAGCGTGTGGTTTCTTTTGACAGCAGTCTTTCGTCACAAATAGAGATGCCGGTTTGGTTGAGACGATAGTTTCCTTTCTGATTATCCTGAGTTACAAAGTCAGGTTGCAAAGCTGCCCTTTGAATGGCTTAATCCTGCTGGTTTATAGTGTTAACATTTCTGAGTGTCTGTAATTTTTCGATTACCGATAGGTTTTAAGAGAAACCACGTGATGATCAAGCAGAAGGGTTAAAGTTCTTGAGTAGGGGTGTTTTGTTTGTCTTTTTTTGGGGGGGAGCCCTATAGCTTGGGTAAGCTTTCGCTAAATGCCCTGTTCTTTCTTTTCACTCTTTAAAACTTTCCCTTCCAAATACAGGCCTCCACGATGTTAAGAGCATCATTGGCTCCTGTGTGAGTAGTTTTCTTTTAAATTCTCCCCTTTTCTTATTAAAAACAGATCATGGTTAACTTGGATGAATTTCTGTAACTGTGGTGTGAATGAACTGGGGGGACTCTTGAGGTTGCACACTTTCCCCTTCTTCCTTTCTCCAAGGGGTTGCCAAACTCCAGGTGGGGCCTGGAGATCTGCTGGAATTACAGCTGATCTCCAGGCAACAGAGATCAGTTCCCCTGGAGAAAATGGCTGTTCTGGAAAGTGGACCTCTGTGGCATTCTTTCCCCAAACTCTGCCTTCCCAGGCTCCACCCCTAAATCTCCAGGAATTTCCCAACTCCAGAGTTAGCAACCCTATTCCCCCAGCTCAAAAAATTCAGCATATTATTGTTTATCCTTGCCTTTGGACAGCAAAGGTGACAAAAAAGCAAGTATTGGAGCACATAAAACCAAACGTGTCATTGCAAAGAAAAATAATAAAACTGCGACTGACTTATTTTGGCCATTTCAACTCACTAGAAAAAGCAATTATGCTTGGATTGGTTAGCAGCAAAAGGAAACCGGGTCGCTAAAGAACACAGTGGCGAGACACTATAAAAGCCGACACCACCCTGAGCATGGAACGACTCAAAGAAACAGTATAAGATCGGAAAAGGTGGAGAGAGCTGGCCCATAGAATTGCCAAGAGTCGGATATGACTGAATGGCTAACAACAACAACAGACTTTGCATTCAAATCATGAAGCCAGGGTTCCCCCCCCCCCTGCTCTCCAAAGGAGCTGCGGTGGCTCAAGTGGTTAAGACGCTGAACTGCAGGCTGTGGAAGGTCGGTAGTTCAGCAGTTCGAGACCCAGGTGCCGCATGATGGAGTGAGCTCCCATCTCTAGTTCCAGCTCCTGCCAACCTAGCAGTTTGAAAGCAAGAAATTGCAAGTAGATAAATAGGGACCACTTCGGTGGGAAGGTAAGAGCGTTCCGTGCGCCTTGGTGTTTAGCCATGCCGGCCACATGACCACGGAAACATCTTCGGAGAAGCGCTGGCTCTTCAGCTTTGAAACGGAGATGAGCACCGCAACCCTAGAGTCGGACTCGACTGGCTTTCGAGCAAGGGGACCTTTACCTTTACCTTTTATGCTCTCCAAACCAGTATTTCAAAATTTGGTTCAATTCTTGTTTGGTAGAAAGAAAGAAAAAACACCCTTTTTAAAAGTTACTAGCGGTGGGCCATGAAAGGGGAAGTATATATATATCCATTCAGGGGAAAGCGGAAGGACGTGTGCGACCCAGGGTGTCCGTCAAGTATGCTCAAAGCAAGTATGGTTTGCCATTGCTTCTGAACAGGGTCATAGAGTAATTCCTAGAGTTAGTGGAGGTACCTTTAGATACTTGTGAATGTGAGAAGTTTAGGAATTATGTGGACACGAAGGGGAAGACGAGGATGCTGGCATAGGGCGACCAGTTCTTGAAGGGCAAAATTCTGACAGGTAGGTGGATGGACGTGGGGATGACCTCCATTAATTTAGGGTACAAAGATATATAGCTGTTGATGGTGGGTATAAGTGCCCTGACCCGGGTAGCTCAATCTGGCTCACGCTCATCAGATCTCAGAAGCAAAGTACAGTCGGCCCTGGTTAGGACTTGGATGGGAGACCCCCAAGTGTCCGTTAGCCGCTTTTGGGTCCCTTTGGGGAGAAACACGGCACATAAATGAGAGCCAGTTTGGTGTCGTGGTTAAGTGCGCGGACTCTAATCTGGGAGAACCGGGTTTGATTCCCCACTCCTCCACTTGCACCTGCTGATGTGACCTTGTTAGGACTTGGATGGGAGACCACCAAGGAAGCCCAGGGTAATGACACAGAGGCAGGCATTGGCAAACCGTCATTGCTGGAGCTCGGAAGCTAAGCAGGGTCGGCCCCGGTTAGGACTTGGATGGGAGACCACCAAAGAAGTCCAGGGTCGCTCTGCAGAGGCAGGCAAGGGCAAAACACCTCGGAACGTCTCTTGCCTTGGACGCCCTGTGCGGTCACCATAAGTCGGCTGCAACTTGATGGCAGAAAGGGCCCTGCCATCAAGCCGTGTGACCCACCAAGAACTTTTTTGTATTTTCTTTTTTTATTTATTCAGTCGGTTTTATCCAGATGGGTTGTTTTGATTGCATTTTTGGAAGTGTCCGTTAGCCGCTTTTGGGTCCCTTTGGGGAGAAACACGGCACATAAATGAGAGCCGGTTTGGTGTCGTGGTTAAGAGCGCGGACTCTAATCTGGGAGAACCGGGTTTGATTCCCCCCTCCTCCACTTGCACCTGCTGATGTGACCTTGGGTCAGTCACAAGCTCTGGCACAGCTGTCCTTGAACAAGAGCAGTTTGTGTCAGTGTTCTCTCAGCCCCACCCACCTCACAGGGTGTCTGTGGTGGGGAGGGGAAGGGAAAGGAGTTTGTAAGCCGCTCTGAGACGCCAAGTGAAGGGCGGGGTATAAATCCAATCTCTTCTTCTTCTTCTTCTAAATGTCCAAATAAATTATGATGCAAAGAACTCAGAGCATATGAAGTAGGTAACTAAGCAAGTGGACGCTTGCTCAGACGTTTCAAGTCACGCTTTCATTGCTGAAATATGCAGCAAGCTGCTGAGGAATCAAAACGTTTAGAAAGCCTTCTGAAAAAAATTGGCCCATTTTACAGACAGGCAGCGTTAAGGCTGAGAGATGTCTTCAAGACCATAGTCCCAAACCAGCCAGACTGGTTGGATTCTGGTTCCTTGGCTGCTCTTCTAGCTTTCTTTACGGAATTCTTGGCAAGATTAGAGAGTAGAGATATGTCAGGCATTCGGAACCTGAGAGAGTTCCCACTCTAAATAAAGGCTAAAGATCCTCAGTGTGGTCTGGTTGTCCCTAAGGTGAGAACCATTTCCGATGGCAAGACCTGAATGGCCGTCCAAACAAAAATATTTCCTCCGCACAGAAAACCAGCATGTTAAAGGAGAAGACTAGGAGAGTTCTAGCATGTTTCTCCTTGGCATACTGATTTTCTGCAGGGAGGGATTTCTTTAATAGAGGAATGTGCATTCTTGTGAGTCCCCACCTGCCAACTGGACGTAGTTTGACCATCTCAGTAAAGACCAGGCCCCCATTTCTGTTTCTTATTTAGTGTCTTTAAAAAAAAAGGCTATACTCAACCTTTCTCTGAACTCTTATTCAAGAAAGCTCACAACCAGTGTTCCCTCTAAGCTGAGTTAGTGTGAGCTAGCTCACAGTTTTTTAGTCTCTGGCTCACACATTTTTGTCTTAGCTCAGGGAGGATGGCACCAGAACCAACTAATTTATGCAGTAGCCAAATTGCTTGCTCACAGCTTTAACGCTAGGAGCTCACAAAGCAGAATAATTGCTCACGAGACTCCACAGCTTAGAGGGAACATTGCTCACAACAAGATTCAATTAAAGCAGTAAAGCAAATATGTGGAGGGAAGGGGCCATGGCTCAGTGGTACAACATCTGCCCAGCAAGCAGAAGGTCCCAGGTTCAATCCCCGGCATCTCCAGTTAAAAAGAGCAGGCAGCAGGTCAGGCCCTAGCCACTGGGGGGCATTTAGGGGCGGTGGCCCCTCACGCATGGCCCTTGCCCCAGCCGGCAGGTAAGGAAAGACTCTTATCTTCTTCACTTGCCTGCCAATGGGATCTCCCTCTCTATCCTCTGCTCCTCCCCCCCAGATTTCCCAACACCCCACCACCAACATTTTCTGGCTTCGCCCCTGTAGTAAGTGATGGGAAAGACCTCTGCCTGAGACCCTGAAGAGCTGCTGCCAGTCTGAGTAGACATTAATGACCTTGATGTTCCAAGGGTCTGATTTAGTAGAAGGGAGTGTTTGGAGAGGGGCCATGGCTCAGTGGAAGAGTCTCTGCCTGGCATGCAGAAGGTCCCAGGTTCAATCCTCGGCATCTCCAATTAAAAAGGACCAGGCGATGGGTGATGGGAAAGACCTCTGCCTGAGACCCTGGAGAGCTGCTGCCAGTCTGGCCTTGGTAGAGCGATGGTCTGATCCAGTATAAGGCAGCTTCATGCGTGTTCATGCTTCATTTGACTGACCTGGGCTTGTACCAACCAAAGGAGTTTGCTACCTTTGTCACCGAGTGTGGCTTTTTGCTCACTCTGCAGGAAAGTGCAAGAAGTGCCCCTCTTGCCCTCCTTGGACTACGAGAAGCTGAAGAAAGACCTGGTTGACGGGAACGACCGACTGAAAGCCTTCTTGCTGCAGGCCCTGCGCTGGGTGGGTGAGCTGAAGGATATCAATGAATGTGTTAAAAGAAAGTTGATGTCACCCTGTCCTGGCCAAGAGATGTAGCAAAATTCTCCTAGCTGACATTTCATTTGGAAGGTTTGGCGGTTTCTAAAGTGTTGTGTGACGTCCTCTCTTATAGGGGAAATGGGTTTACCTTTAAACACTCTCTGTGTAAATAAACTTGGTAATTTTCTGCTGCCACCAGGAATTCAAAATGTTTTTCTCTTTTGGTAGAATGACCTAGGGTCTGGACATATCAGAGGACTATGTGGCCCTGAGGAAGTATTGTACTGATTTGTGGGATAAGTTTAAACAAAAATTGATTTATTTAATAAAGAACAAAATAGGTTTCTGGTTATTTTGAACAGTTGCTGAAGAAAGGGACTTGAAAATATAACTGGCAAAGCTTGGTGCCACAAACAGTCTCTCAAACGCCAAACTCCACTCTGACAGGCTTATACACTCATATATATATAGCCACACAGGCTAGTCTCTTTGTTTTATTCACACTGAATAGAATCAACTCTCTTAGTCACACAGACTAAACTGTTGGTCTTATTCACACAGAATTAGACTCAGAATTCCATAGTCACACAGACTATGCTCTCTCTTCAAGCTTCACACACAGAATCCTTCATAACTCTCAGAGTCACACAGACTCTCTTCAGAACTCTCCCATTCTTGTCTCTCTCGTATCACAGAATCTCCTCATAGACACACACACACAGAATCCTCTCAGACACCCCTCCTCCCACACTCTCAGTCATCAGCCAATCAGAATACATTCATCTTCCTCTGTCACTCTCCCTACAGAACTGCGTTCAAACTAAACATTTAAAGGAACACACACACCAAAACATGGAACCATTGCATGTTGTCTTTCCCCCCTGTTGGATTGTGCTGCAAGGTCGAACCTCACTGAACCCTCTCAGATAAGTCCCACCAGGCACTATGGTAGCCCTTCAGCGCTGGGCCACGGCAAAGCAAAGTCCTCCAGTTGCCATCCTAGCCACCTACTCCAGAACGAGGGAGCCTACGGGTACCTTTGGGATTCTAACACAGCATGACACAGAAGGGCCGCACCGTCTCCCCTGCAGTCACACAGTGAAGAGCCTTGTGCTGCCAAGGCAACATAGGATAGAGCAGGTAGAGAAAGAGGTACTTTTCTCCCTTTCTCGCAATACAAGAACCCGTGGGTACTCCATGAAATTGCTGAGCGGTCGGGTTAGAACGGATAAAAGGAAGTACTTCTTCACCCAAAGAGTGATTAACACATGGAATTCACTGCCACAGGAGGTGGTGGCGACTACAAGCATGGACGGCTTCAAAAGGGAACTGGATAAGCATATGGAGCAGAGGTCCATCAGTGGTTATTAGCCATAAGGCATAGAGAGGGGCTCTGGGGCAAGGGATGCTCTGTCTTCTTGGTGCTTGGGGGGGGGGGCAACAGTGGGAGGGGCTTCTAATGTCCTGGCCCCACTGGTGGACCTCCTGATGGCACCTGGTTTTTCTGGCCCCTGTGTGACACAGAGTGTTGGGCTGGATGGGCCTTTGGCCTGATCCAACATTGGCTTCTCTTATGTTCTTATGTTCTTAACATTCTTTAAAAACCTGCGCAGCCAAAAAAAATTCCTAATGGCCGATAGGGGTGCCAGCCTCTGGGTGGTACACCCCACCAAAGTTCACTGTGAAGAAAAATGAGTCTATTACACTTACAGTCATTTTTTTTTCACAATTAACTTTGGTGGGGTGTACCTTTGGTTAAAGGCTGCGGTGGCTCAAGCGGTTAAGATGCTGAACTGCAGGCTGTGGAAGGTCGGTAGTTAGGTGGTTCGAGACCCGAGTGCCGCCTGATGGAGTGAGTGCCCGTCTCTAGTTCCAGCTCCTGCCAACCTAGCAGTTTGAAAGCAAGAAATTGCAAGTAGATAAATAGGTACCACTTCGGTGGGAAGGGAACAGCGTTCCGTGCGCCTTGGTGTTTAGTCATGCCGGCCACATGACCACGGAAATGTCTTCGGACAGCGCTGGCTCTTCAGCTTGGAAACGGAGGTGAGCACCGCAACCCTAGAGTTGGATCCGACTGGCTTTCGAGCAAGGGAACCTTTACCTTTTCCTTTTACCTTTAACCAATCACTGTGGTCCAGTTGTGGCTCGAACCTCTAGGGGGTGGCTGAGAATCTCCCGTTATTACAGCTGATCTCCAGTCAACAGAGATCAGTTTGCCTGGAAGAAATGGCCTCTCTGGAAGGTGGACTCTGTGGCATTGTACCCTACTGAAGCTCCACCCCCAAAATCTGCAGGTATTTCCCAACCTGGAGCTGGCAGCCTAATGGCCAATCAGGAGCCTTGGTGGGCATAAGCTCCACTTGGCCCCACCCACTCTTTATGAACACGCGGTGAGCTCCAGGAAAGGTGTTGGTGTGCACCGTGGCACCTACGCCCCCACCCCCGCTGTGGATTCTTGGTCCAGAAGGATACTGTGGCTGATGGTGTTAAAAGCCGCTGAGAACCAACAGGGTCATACCCACGCTCATTCAGGCTATCTTCAGATGTCACTAATCCACCAAGTTACCGAAGCCCGTCCCCAAACCAGGCAGCCCTTTTGGAGCAGTTATTAAGTACGCAGACGCTAATCTGGGAGAGCTGGGTTTGATTCCCCACTCCTCCAAACGCAGCTGCTGGGTGACCTTAGCAAGCCGTAGTTCTCTCAAGGGCAGTTCTCTCAGAGCGCTCTCAGCCCCACCTACCTCCCAGGGCGTCTGTTGTGGGGAGAGAAAGGGAAGGAGATTGTAAGCTGCTTTGAGACTTCCACTGAAGGGTGGGGTATAAATCCAGTCTCCTCCTCCTCCTCCTTCCTCCGAGACTGCATTCCACAGGGTAGGGGCCACAACTGAGAAGCCCCTGGGCCAGTTCTGGCTGTGGCCTTGCCGGGTGCTCTTGAGCAAGTTGTTTTTGTGAGTTTGGTCAGCACAGGATGGTTGCTTGGCCGAAAGAGATGCAGAGGCAGTTTCTGAACTTTGCTTTGTCTCTAAATAATTCCCGTCGTGCTAGAAGATCGTCTTGATGGCTGTTCTCCCATGCTTCTCTTACAGCGTTTGACCACCTCCCATCCCGGTGAGCAGAGGGACACAGTTCTGCAGGCTTATATCAACAACGATCTTCTGGATTGCTACAGCAACGTTCAGGTTAGTCAGGAGAGCTCTCCGGTTCAATCAGTGATCAGGCACGTGGTTGGCCAACACTGCGCTTGAGTTTTGACTCTTTATTGTGGGATGAGGGTTTGCTGTTTATGACTCCGGTTGCAAAAACAGTAAAGACAATTAAAAAAAAATAACCAGAATAAATCTTTTGTTGGGTCTTAAAGGTGCCACCGGACTCAAACTTTGTCGTATTGCTTCAGACAGCTACCGGCTTGAATCCGTCTGCATGAAGAACTGTGTATGAGCACATTGGGCTGAGATACTTGCATCAGAACAAGTTTTTGGCTCCCAGGGAACTTGAGACCTGGAAATCTCAAAACATCAGGAACCACTGGCTCTAAAAAACCAATTCTGATAGCACTGTTACAGTGAGAGTGTGTTATATTCGTGGTCTTCAACCTTTCAGGACCTGGGACCTGCCATTAATCTCATTTGGCAGCACTGGATCTAACTTTAATGCCAGGAGCTCACAGAGTAGAATTCTTGCTCACAAGACTCCACTGCTTAGAGGGAGCGTTGATCTGGGACCCTCTGAGTTGCAAACGCATGGCAGGAAAGTCACATGACAGCCTGCGACAGGAAGGGGTGGAACCAGAGTCTCTGTACCTGCCTGTGCTAAAAATGAATTTTTTCCACTGCTGAGCGAGGCTCCCTCTAACATGCAGAGTCCTGTGAGCAAAAATGCTACTTTGTGAGCTCCTGGCATTAAAGTGGTGAGTGGGCGATTTGGCTGCTGCATAAACGAGTTTGCTCTGGAGCCCTCCTTCCTGAGCTGAGACAAAAATGTGTCAGCCGGAGGCTAAAAAACTGTGAGCTGGCTCACACTAACTCAGCTTAGAGGGAACACTGCGGCTGAGTAGTCTGGTCTCACTGTCCTGCTTCTCCTCCTAGAGTGTACACTACTCTAGGGAAGTAGGGGGCGTGGTGCCCTTGCTCTCTCTGTGCACGTCTACTGCAAAAAGGGGCAAACAAGGAAGCGGCTGCTCTGTATTAACTTTTGACTCAGGGGGTGGCTTTTCATGATCTGCCTGAGGGGAGGGGCCGTGGCTCAGTAGAAGAGCCTCTGCCTGGCATGCAGGAGGTCCCAGGTTCAGTCCCCAGTTGAAAGGTCCAGGCAGGAGGTGATGGGAAAGACCTCAGCCTGAGACCCTGGAGAGCTGTAAAGAGGGGCCGTGGCTCAGTGGAAGAGCCTCTGCCTGGCATGCAGGAGGTCCCAGGTTCAGTCCCCGGCATCTTCAGTTAAAAGGACCGGGCAGGAGGTGATGGGAAAGACCTCCGCCTGAGACTCTGGAGAGCTGAAAAGAGGGGCTGTGGCTCAGTGGAAGAGCCTCTGCCTGGCATGCAGGAGGTCCCAGGTTCAGTCCCCGGCATCTTCAGTTAAAAGGACCGGGCAGGAGGTGATGGGAAAGCCCTCCGCCTGAGACTCTGGAGAGCTGAAAAGAGGGGCTGTGGCTCCGTGGAAGAGCCTCTGCCTGGCATGCAGGAGGCCCCAGGTTCAGTCCCCGGCATCTCCAGTTAAAAGGACCAGGTAGGAGGTGATGGGGAAGACCTCAGCCTGAGACCCTGGAGAGCTGTAAAGAGGGAAGAGCCTCTGCCTGGCATTGGAAGAGACCTCTGCCTGAGTTCCCAGAGAGCTGCTGCCAGTCTGAGTAGATGATACTGAGCTCGATTGACCAATGATCTGATTCAGTAGAAGGCAGCTTCATGGGTGTTCATGTGTATTCAGTCTTGACCCATCAGCTGAAGACCACTGCATTCGATGATTTGTTATGTGCCGAAAATGAAAATTTATATACCTCAACACTAGTCCGACAGGAAACTGCCGTGAAATTGGCCGAATATGTGCAATCCAGTTTATCAAAATCATATTTTTTGCTTCTTTTTGGCCTGCGAGCATCATGTGAATGAAGCAGTATATACTCACAGAGAGTATAAATAGTTTTTAGAGGAAACACAGGAATAATAGTAGAATCGCTCCACCTTTTGCTAGGGTTGGAAAAAACCCAGTCTTGGGCAGTATTGGCTTGGATCCTGCCCAAACTTCTGTGAGTGTGTGTGTGGGGGGGATTTTTGCCTGTTCCTCCAAAACACATACCAAAATCCTGCATCTGGGGGCGGGGGATGCCCAGGAATAGTTTGGGGTGGGGGTGGTGAAAATCGCCTCCTTGTACCCACTGGGCTATTTTTGGGCAGGAACGTACAGGAACGGAGTTCCGTCTGGCTCCCAAGTTGGCGACGCCCAGCAGGAACTCATTAGCATAATAGGCCACACTCAATAGCAGAAACACATTAGGATTGGCTACATTAGGGGTGTGGCTTAACATGCAAGAGAGTTCCTGCTACAAAAAAGGCCCTGGGTTTGACAACAAACCAGTTAAACAGAATAAGAAGCAAAAGGTGGGTGTGGCTGGATGACCACACTTCTGGTAACATGAGGGTGTGGCCTAATATGCTAATGAGCTATGCTCTCATGGGTGTGGCGGGATATGCTAATGAATTTCTGTTGTTGGGTGTGGCCTATTATGCTAATGAAAAATGCTGAGCTTTTTCTACCAAAAAAGCCCTGCACCCACATATGGTGGATTTTCCATGAGTTGAGCTCCAAATGTGATTTTGTTTTCATCTGAGAGTTCATCGGTTGAAGGGCAGGCTCCTCGTCACGTGTCTTTTGTATCTTGTAGAGAAGCGTGTTGATGCTGATACAGTCCAAGAACGAGGTGGTCCGTCAGTATACAGCCAGGCTGGTCAATGCCTTTGCCTCTCTGGCTGAAGGTAAGGGACACCCAGTGGTGGAAGCGTGCCCCTCGGGGCCCATGTCTTTTATGCGCCAGTGTTGGTCCGAGTGGTTTCTTAAGTGCTGACCGCTTAAATCCCAGAAGATCTCTTCTATGGAAGCCTATACAAGGCAAGAACAGCTGTCGTGCAGAGGCTTCGTGATATTGAATCAGAAAATGAAGAAGCTTTGCTACCCGAGAACGACCGAAACATAAAATCTTGGCCACATTTTACTGTTGCCCCTTATTTAGTTAACATTACCTATGAACTCTATAGATGGGCCTTTTCCAGAGCCTGTTTTGAGGCACCCCCTTCTGCTGTAAAAAAGGTAAAGGTTCCCTTGCTCGAAAGCCAGTCGAGTCCGACTCTAGGGTTGCGGTGCTCATCTCCGTTTCAAAGCCGAAGAGCCAGCGCTGTCCGAAGATGTTTCCGTGGTCATGTGGCCGGCATGACTAAACACCAAGGCGCACGGAACGCTGTTACCTTCCCACTGAAGCAGTACCTATTTATCTACTTGCAAATTCACTCGAGTCCCAATGCATGAATGTATATGCCCATGCATGGCTAATATGGTGGAATCAGTTACTCATGTCCTCCTGTTCTGCAGATTCTATCAGGAAGAACAAGACCATCTTATTCTGTCCCCCGGGCCTTATGTTTGACACCTCTGATCAATGCTCCCTCTGAGTGGTGGAGTCTTTTGTGAGCAAAAATTCTACTTTGTGAGCTGCTGTAAAGTTGTGAGCGTTTTGGCTGCTGCATAAATTGGTTTGCTCTGGAGCCATCCCTTCCTCAGCTGAAAATGTGTGAGCTGGAGGCTAAAAAATTGTGAGCTAGCTCACACTAACTCAGCTTAGAGGGAACACCACCTCTGATCTAGTGTCTCAGAAGGGCAGAATAAAACAAAAGTCTGGTGGTACCTTAAAGACGAACAATGTTTATTTCAGTGTGAGCTTCTGTGAGTCACCTGTGCCCAATAAAGGCTGCTGGTCTTCAAGATGCCACTGGACTTCTGTTTCACTTTGCTCCGGCAGACTAACATGGCTACCCCTTTGCAGTCAGAAGAGCCCAGCTGATCGCCCCTGTCATGGCTCAGGTGGGGTGTCACCTGACGCTGCCACCACTCTGGATTTAGGATCCCTTGAGAAGGCCCAGAGCACCCTCCCAAGACCTTCAGACCTCCCTTTTGGCTGAATAACAAGCTTGAGGACCAGGCAGAGTGAAACAAGGAAAAGGTTTATTTCATTGGAGGTCAAACAAACAAGGTGCAGAATAATAACTGTAAGTGGGTGAAAAGAAAAGAAATCAAATGCCCTTACGCGTCTAAATATATGCTGTCCCTAGCTCACTATCTGCAGTGGCCTTAGACTACTCACCCTTCCCTCAGGATGAGGGTCTCTTCCCTGCAGCAGCCTTCCTTCTGGCTCTGCCCTCTGGGAAGAAGAACAGCTTTTCCTGCTGCACCAGATCTTTTATTCCAAGCCCTCCTCTTTCACTATTGGTCAATTTTGGCTCCAAAACCTCTCAGGGGCTTCTGGGAGTTGTAGGCCCAGCTTCACCTACTGCTAGCCAGGCTCCCTGGGCCTAGTAGGCCTCTGGTGGCACAGCCCAGATCATGACACCCCGATCCCGTCTCTCCCTCCCTCCCTCCTGGCTGTCTTTCAGGTCGCCTCTACCTTTCACAGAACCTCCGGGTGCTCCGACTGCTGGAAGAGAGACTGAAAACCGAAGAGAAGGATTCTCTTACCCGAGAGAATGTCCTGGGGGCTCTGCAGAAGCTCAGCCTCAGGTGATGAAAGCGGGGGGCTGGGGGGGCGGCTGGGGGCAGCAACAGGGAAGGATTGGCAAAGGCCGGCTGTGTCGGGCGGGGGGCGGGAGGGGGGGAAGAGGAGCTCGGAGCTCTTGGTTTTTGAGCCGCTGTCATCGGGCTCTTCCAGAGCCGATGACAGCGGTGTCACTTAAGAGGTTGAAGAGAAGGGCTCGGCGGGACCTTTGGCTGGCGAAGTCCATGGGATTGTTTTTCTCAGCTCCCGCGAACACATAAAGCCGCCTTATGGTGAATCAGATGATTAAACTTCGATTCCTCGACATTGAAATACAAAGGCTTTACCGTTTAGGCAACAAATCTTGTTTCCTCATGAACTTTGAGATGTCCCTCACGGTAGGCCGAATGGCCCCATGTCTATCTGGTATACAAGCACCACAACAGCGCAGAGCCTTCTCTCTAGCAAGATTCAATGTAATATCATCAGCAGTCTTGCATGGGAGATATAATGACATAGTATATGCGGGAGACTTTGCCATTACAACTCTGGATGCATTAGGGCTGCCAAGTCCCCCCAGGGGGCAGATAATCCCCCGCTTTGGAGGCCCGATTTCCGCCGCCGCGGAATCGGGCCCCGGGGGGAACCCCACCCCGGCGTGCACGTCAGCCGGATGTGATGTGATGACGCCGGGCACGCTGGGGGCGGGGCCACAGCCATCTGAGGGGAAAACTCTATGTTTTCCCCTCAGATGGCTG